AGGGGACGAGACAGGGTGAGACCCTGCCTCAAGGGCCGCGAGGGGCCGAGGGGCCCGGGCGGCCGCGTGCCGAGATGCCCACCTGGGTGGTGAACCATTCCTCCACGTCCCTGCGGTTGGTCTCCACCAGGGCCTCATATTGGCTCCTGGTCTCGTTGAGCACGCGGTTCAGGTCCACGGTGGGGGCCGCGTCCACCTCCACGTTGAGGCGGTCTCCGATCTGGCAGCGCAGGGTGTTGACTTCCTGAAGGAGAAGGGAGAGGAATGAACTCAGGAAAAAAAGTCTGTCAATAAACTCTCTTTGAGCAAGTTCAATATGATGGGAAGAAGATTGCAATGAATTTAGGAAATATGAGTTGAGGCCCAGTTGATGTAGAACCAGCTGAGTTACTTCTGTGTGATACAGGCCTCTTACCTGAGTGTCTCCTCATCTGCATGATGAGGCTGCTTGAAAAAGTGATTGCTAATGCTTCTTCCCAATCCAGGATTCTATCATTTCTTTCTGATTTTCCCTTTGCTCAGTGATAAGCCTGGTATGGTAACTGGTTTATAATTATTGTTACTTCAATACAGAGAAACCAGGCATAACTCCTCCCATTTATTTCCTGGTCTTCTGCCATTATATAGTGTATACATAGTTTCCTCTTCTACGTTAGCCAACTTGACAATACATTATATTTTAAAAAATCTAATGTTTGATAGATGCATCTGACATCCTCTATTACATTCAACCATGAGGTCTGAATCACCCATTATTTCAGTTCCTTCATCTCTCATTTTTCCCATTCATCCACCCACCCATCCATTCACCCACCCACTCATCCATCCATCCACCCCTCCATCCATCCACCCCCCCCATCCATCCACCCATCCATCCATCCATCCACCCACTGGGTTCTAGTATCTAGGTGACATATAACATAAGGGAGTTTGCTGTCTTCTTCCAGTCTTAGTCCTTCATTTGTCACCTTCAAAAGCTAATAGAACTTGTCAAACAGTAGAAAGTACTTTAAATATCTTTGTGTGGACTTTTGGCTGTATATCTGGCCCCAAGGGAAAATAAGTCAGCTGACCACATTCTTTTAGTAAAAGAGGTAAGCTTATGAGCCAGTCCCTGAAAATTCCCCCAAGAGGGTTTTGAGCAAGCAGCAAACTGTTGTGTTAGTTCTGAGGCGCTTAGTAAAGACCGACCTTATCCTGCTCGGGGGAGGTATGGAGTGCTCCATTTGGGATGATGGGGGTGGGACTCCCTCACCTGCTCATGGTTCTGCTTGAGGCTCAGCAGCTCCTCCTTCAGGGACTCCACCTGGGCCTCCAGATCGGACTTGCACAGAGTCAGCTCATCCAGGATCCTGCGCAGGCCGTTGATGTCTGACTCCACCAGCTGCCTCAAGCCCATCTCCGTCTCATACCTGCACACATGCCAAAAGGTCAAAGGGAGTAAAAAAAAAAAAAAAAAAAAAAAAAAAGACTTTTTTCCAGGGCTTTACTTGGCTGGCCCAGTGGAATTAATTACATTTTGCAAGTTTTTGAATTTCTAAAAAGTTTTTTGGAAGGGAAAAACATGCTACCATGCTGAATGAAAAAAAGACTTATTTCTTCCCTGAGACCCACAGGGAAGGTATTGGTTGGGGGCCTATGTACAGTCTTAATCTGATATTAACTGCATTTGTTCTAAGAACCCCCATGTACAGGCTGCTATGGATTAGGCCTTGTCTTCTTGCCTCTTTCAGTGAGTTGGTGAACTTCATAAGCCTGTTATATAGATTGTCTTACCATCCTTTCCAACCACCTTGAAAGCAAACTGATGTAATGAAAGCATTGAATTAGAAATCAGAACCATGGATAGATTCCTTAATGTCTCTGAGCCTGGACTTCTTCATCTATACAATGGAAACCAAACTAACACTTCACAGGTTGGTCCAAAGATGTAGAAATGGCATAATAATTACAATTACATTGTAAGCTATAAAGTCCCTTAAACATGCAAAGGATTCTTATGATTGTAAAGATCACACCTAGAAAAAAGTCATTCGCTAAAATGGATTTTGCTTCCTATGTTTGTGATTTAGTAACTTTTTTCTGACGGGCTGATAGTGGTGAACCTACACTAAGAAACAGGTGTGAAATTCACTTTTAACCTGGGCCCACATATTAAGTTGAAAAAGAGAATGGGTGGGTGGTTTCTTGCACTCCTTAAAAGGAGGCTTAAAATGCAACATTCTTGCATTCAGTGAGGAAACTGACATTTAACCTGGCTAACCCAATGCAAGAATCCTCCCAGTGTCACCCCAGACATCTGCTTGCTCGCACCCAGGACAGAGTTCATCAGGTCATAAGTCAGCCTGTGTGTTACTAGAGTGCTCTGATCCTCAGAAAAACCTTACTTGGTTCTGAAGTCATCCGCAGCCAGTTTGGCATTATCAATCTGCACCACCAGCCTGGCGTTCTCAGACTTGCTGCACAGGATCTGGGGACAGGATTCATTATGAAATGAGTTATACTGAGAAGGAACGCCTGTGCCTTAAAGTGAAAAGCTTTTTTTTTTTTTTCCAAGCACACATTCTCTCCAAATAGCTTTGAGTCTTTTCAGATTTTCAGTTTGGGAATAAAAGGAAGATGAACCAATTAATAGCACTGTTCATTTCAAAACTAAAACAGTCAAGGGGAAATGTGCCCTTAGTCATTAATTCTTCCTCTCCTTGGTCTGCCTCTGGCTTCTTGCAGGAATTGAGCAGACTGGGTAATGAGCCTCACTTAGGGTGACCTGTGTCCCAGTTTGCTTAGAAATAGGGGGTTCTTGGGGCGCCTGGGTGGCTCAGTGGGTTAGGTGTCCGACTTCGGGTCAGGTCATGATCTCGCAGTTCGTGAGTTCGAGCCCCACGTCAGGCTCTGCGCTGATGCCTCGGAGCCTGGAGCCTGCTTAGGATTCTGTGTCTCCCTTTCTCTCTGCCCTTCCCCTGCTCATGCTCTGTCTCTGTCTCTAAAAAATAAATAAATGTAAAGGAAGGAAGGAAGGAAGGAAGGAAGAAAGAAAGAAAGAAAGAAAGAAAGAAAGAAAGAAAGAAAGAAAGAAAGAAAGAAAGAAATAGGGGGCTCTTGGAAGGCTAAGCCCAGAAGAATCCCAGCCAAACCAGGACAGGGTGGTTTTCCTACCCTTACAGCCCTTTACTCCAGCCCTGCTGACCTCTTTCCATTCCCCTTCATATTACCCTTTTCCATGCTTTTGTACAAAGCTCTCTCTATCTGGAATGCCCTGGAATGTCCTTGCCCACCCAGCAAGACCCCTTGAATGACCCACATTCCCCCTCCACCCCGCCCCCAGCTCCCACAGGGGGTCACATCCCCCGTGCATGCCCACAGTACTTTGCACGTAGCCAGTTACACTTCTCACCATGTGTTTCCATGTCTGTCTCCCCTATTAGACTGTGAGCTCCTGAAGGAAAGAGACTAGACTATCTTACTCTGAACTTTATCCCCCACTCAAGCACTGTGCCTTGTGTTCAGTAAATATGGGCAAATGAATACATGATCTTCAAATTGCATGGCCCCTTTTCTGGCATTCACTTTGCCAGCACTACTGAGCAGTGATCAGTCAATCTCCTTGGAGAATCAAAGGCTTGTGCCACTGGATATAAACTATTCATCCATCAAAGCCTACTCAGATATTCCTCTTGTGGGAAGCCCTCCCTGACCTACAGCGTGTATTGTCTCTCTCTCTCTATGCTGACTCTATACTTATCCCCACTTCTGCTCCTGCATTTCTGACCCTGAATTCTCACATGCATGCTTGCTCTAGTGGATGGTACAGGGCCTGTGTATATTAGTGAGGCTTATGGGGCCAACAGCTCTTTTGCTTTGCTATGGACGTAGTCTCTTGCTACAGCTTTGAAAGGCTTTAAATATTTGAGGATCTACTCAGGAAATTCCTAGCTGAACTAATTCAGGTGCATGCTTTTTTAAGCCTACAGGCCTATAGGCCTAAAAACAAGACCAGGATATCATAATAGAACTAAAAAATCAGATGCTCTGGTTTTAGGTAAGAAACATCTTACCTGTCTGATGCCTTATCCTGCCCCAGTCTGCATCCTTCCTATAGAGCTTCCCAAACAGATTTCCTAAGATGTCCTACCTAAGCCAATGAAGTCAATGTCTTTATTGGTGTAGCTTTGAATAGCCTTAGATCCATTAAGAAGTTGGTGCGTTAAGTTTAAATAAATAGTTAACCTGGGGCACCTGGGTGGCTCAGCTGGTTGAGCTTCCGACTTGGGCTCAGGTCAGGATCTCACGGCTTGTGAGTTCGAGCCCCGCGTCGGGCTCTGTGCTGACAGCTCAGAGCCTGGAGCCTGCTTCAGATTCTGTGTCTCCCTCTCTCGCTGCCCCTCCCCACTCACACTCTGTATCTCTGTCTCTCTCACACAAATAAAAACACATTCAAAAAAATTAAACAGTGAACTAAGTCGGAAGTGTGGTGCCCACCCCCTCACCTTCTGCTGGAGCTCCTCGATGGTCCGGAAATAGGACTGGTAGCTGGGGCACACGAAGGGCACCTGCTGCTGGCACCACTCCCGGATCCTGGTCTCCAGCTCCGCGTTCTCCCGCTCCAGCTGGCGCACCTTCTCCAGGTAGCTGGCCAGGCGGTCGTTCAGGAACTGCATGGTCTCCTTCTCGCTGCCATTGAAGGAGCCCTCGCAGAACCAGCCACAGTTGCCCACGTTGGCGGGGATGTTGCAGGCCCCGGGCAGGGTACAGGTGTGGCAGCTGGGGGGCACACAGGGCCGGGAGCAGCAGGTGGAGCGGCAGCTCAGGTTGGGAAGGCAGAAGTTGTAAGGCATGGTGCTGGAGGGCTTTTCAGCAGAGCTCTGAAGGTCAGTTCCAAAGGCTGATTCCTCTCTCTGGTGTAAGCCCTGGTCCTGTCCAGAGCTTTATATTCTGTCAGCAGTGGGTGTGGTGACCACATGCAGCATTACCCACCTTTTACCTTATTTACCCATTTTTCCACTTGTTATTTAGCTACCTCACACGAGTCCTTCACCTCATAAAACATTTTACTCTGGCTTCCTGCTAAGTCAGGACTCCTCGCCAATTATGCTGGTTGGTTAAGTAAGACCTTCAAAGTGACCAACCCATGACCTTGTCAACAGCAGCGCTTATTCATAGGGTTTTGAGTTAGAGTGACAGCTGTCCCCTGTCCCCCAGAGATGGAGGCACTTCTGTGCCTCTTTCTCGTAAAGGAGGAAACATTTGTGCCTCATCCAGCTCCCATTCAGTGAGGGCTCTGTGAGGAAAGCCACTTAAGGAAGCCTGCCTGGAAACTGGACTGTTCAGTAGGGAATCCTGGAAGCTGAGATCAGAGCAGACCTGTGAGCCCATCCTGTTCAACAGCCCTTTGCCCTTGCATGCGGACCAGTTGGAGGCAATCTCTGCTCTCCTTAGAGGGGCTGCAGGAAGCCCCTCCATCCACCACCAGACTCCATTTCTACTGTTACTCGGTGGTCAGCAACGTTAAGGAAACAAACAACTTGGGAGTACCCACCCTGCATGAAGAATGTATTGTGTGCTTACACACAACAGGAGTGTTATCAGAATGGCACCGGATTCCTGAGGACCACTGTTCGATGCACCTCATATGCATTATTTCCTTCCGGCCTCACAAAACCCTGCAGGGTTTGTAGAGGAGGACCCCAAGCCTCTGAGAGGTTGCCTATGGTCCCAGGGCTCCCACACTGTGAGCCAGCATTCAACCCCAAACCTCTCTGACTCCAACAGCCACGCTCTCTCCATCACACCAACTGTCTCTTCCAGTCTCCTCACTACTGACTTGCAATAATGCGCAAGTGGATTGAGTTCAGTGAAGCTGAATCACTACCAGGCACTATCCCCTCCTACATTAGAGTGGGCCAAGAAACAAAAGCCTGTTCTCCATCAAAGAACCAAAGGTCCTTTCCATTCTAATGGAAGGAAGTCTGCTAAATGAGAAAGTGTAATACCTGCTAAAAGCTTGAAAAAAAAAAAAAAAAGAAACCTTTGGTTGATTTGACAGAGAAACATCTGAGCCCAGTTCTCCAAAGGATGTGATCCTGAAAAACCACCACGCCATGACATGCTTAGTAGCATCTTTGACCATCAATATATTTCTGCCCCGGTGCTATTCCAGATGGAGATATGAACTATGAGGATTTTACGTTTCATCTATCAGCACTCAAAATAGGACAGAGACACCTTAAAGCAATTCCTTCTGGAAGCTATGTGCTCATTCCTCCTGTATAGCCACCGCTCACATCACCTCTTCTACAAAGCTGACCTCACACTCTGGGACACTTTCTTTTGGTTAGCCTCATTGAAGACAAATCTTCATCTTCTGAGAGTGTGTCTCTTTTTGAAACTCGCCGGATATCATTTGGAACCAAGCCTAGTAAGTGGATAAGCAACGGAATTTGGTAGCATCTTTAATGGGTCAGAAACACATTGGGACTGTAAAATAATAATGTACTTTTTCTTGGGTGATTCTGAAAGTCATTGCCAACATGAAGCTTCAGATCTGCTCCCATAAAGGGCAGCGAATTTGGAGTAAGTGTGCAGTCTCCCAGAAGGTAATGCTTTGAAGACACTGACATCCTTACCCACGTTCACAATCCACACCTCTCTGCCTCTCCTGCCTGAATCTCTACATTTAGAGAGAGATTGGACGGGCGTGGTAGTTTAAAATCAGTACCAATAACATAAAGCAAATAGCTTTCATCAGATTCATCAGCTTTTCTGTTTCGCTCCTTCATTTATTTCCCAACCTTCCAAAGAGGAAAACCGAGACAATGGCACTTTTTTAAAGAATAGGAGAGATGCTGTATTCTGGATTGATAAATATGTCCGCAGGGATTCCTAAACCATGATGGCAGCTTCTGCCTCAGAACAAAATGACCCAGAGATAAGTACCCTGTATCTTCAAAAGTGGAGGGCAGAGTTTAGAAAACATGACTACTCCCACCTGTTGAGCAAAAATAACCATGATTGCTGCATAGCTACATGGTAATTAGATTATAATAGCTGAGAGGACTTGGGTTTATTTAGAAAAGAGCCAAGTTTTATCTCCCAAGATTCTGGAAGGCAGTTGTTTTTTATTTATTCCACTTACTGTGTGCTTGAATCCTTCCCTTTACATAAGCAATGTCATTGTCTCTAGTTAATGACTCTTCAATAAACATGATGAGCAGATCAAATCCTAACAAACAAAAAAGTTTTAGACCTGCCTGTGTAATTGTGGCAGACGCCACGGTAAGGCTTCTGGTCTCCAGATGTGAGAAAATTGCACTTGAGGTTAAAAGATACTATTTATTATGGAAGCCAAGACTATATCCGTGGGAGAGATCACATGCCAACCCACCGGTGGCACTCAACCACAGAGTGGACTCAGGGCAGATCTACTGAGACCATCCTCCCATGGCAGAACTTTAAAGGTATTAGGAAGCCTCCCTCCTCCTTCCCAAACCCATCTTCTCTGATGGCCAGGTACTGGCACTTGAAATTCTCACCACGAGAAATATAAATTGCATTATTTGGGAAATGCAAAATAACATACTGGGCCACTTACAGATTAATTCTATTTTAATGTAGACAAATGGCAAGAAGAGACCAGGAGTGCCATCGCTGGGCACACATAGACCAAGATACTGATGTTTGCCTAAGAGATGAAGAGTTATTCACTGGAAAATCCGAAAAGCAGAAACACTGTTCATTACCAACCCTAGCCCACCCTGCTGGGCCAGCCCCAGTTAGAGCTGCTTGTAAGAACAAGATATAGGGCTTCCATAGACTATTCCATAAAAGTGTCTATTGCCAGTTTATTGACCACTCAGTCTTACCACATTGAAGGGAGCAATTGTCATGGTGATCCAGGAATTAAACCAACAGGTTTGGCTTTGGGAAGATGTTCAAACAAGATTTGCAATGAGGAACAAGTAGAGGAGGATATGCAGAATGAGCTAGGTCAATGGTAATATGGGCTGATCAAAATGTACCCCGAAATAGGATTCAGAGCCCATCACTCAAATCCTCTCCAGAACTGCTGTTCTGTCCCTTACACTCAGTCTTCGACTCTCAGTGGGAATGGAGTTTGGAGGTCTTTAAGGGACCAAGCCACATCATAAAAATGCAAAGCTCATCAGTATGTTTTTAACTCTATCCAGTCTAGAATAGAGAAGTCAAGAAGAATGTGAAAAAAAATCCAAGACAATATAACTTAATGGTCCTAATCTGCGAAAGCTGGATTCAGGAACCACTCAGAGAAGGAATGAACACCTGTTTATGTGACTGCTCTGCATATCAAAGGGAAGAGCAGGTGCTAAAACATTTTGAGAGTTCCACAGAGGGGGCACCTGGGTGGCTCATTCAGTTAAGCCTCTAACTTCGGCTCAGGTCATGATCATGGGTTTGAGCCCATGTTGTGTCAGGCTCAGCACTGACTGCTCAGAGCCTGGAGCCTGTACAGATTTTGTGTCTCTCTCTCTCTCTCTCTCTCTCTCTCTCTCTCTCTCTGCTCCTCCCCCACTTGTTCTCTCTCTCCCCTCCCCATCTTTTTCTCTCTCTCTCAAAAATAAATACTTAAAAGAGTACACAGAAGGGGCGCCTGGGTGGCGCAGTCGGTTAAGCGTCCGACTTCAGCCAGGTCACGATCTCGCGGTCCGGGAGTTCGAGCCCCGCGTCAGGCTCTGGGCTGATGGCTCAGAGACTGGAGCCTGTTTCCGATTCTGTGTCTCCCTCTCTCTCTGCCCCTCCCCCGTTCATGCTCTGTCTCTCTCTGTCCCAAAAATAAATAAATAAACGTTAAAAAAAAATTAAAAAAAAAAAAGAGTACACAGAAGATAAACCAAAGTAAGCTTCATGTTTAGTATGAATACATTGTGTTGAACGTTTGTGTTAAGTTCACTATTAAGTTGGTAACTTGAAACAGATGTGAAAGTCACTGAACTATGACTTCTTTCCTCAGCAACCTATAGACCCTGCTCTCTCTATGGTCACCAGTGATCTCCCTATTACTATGTCCACTGACTTGTCTGAATTCTCCTCTTTCTCTCCCTTCAAGAGAGACAATATCTTCACCTAATTGAAGCCTAGTGTAAACCATAGAATACTATAAGTGGAATAAATAAGGAACCATAACACTAATGAGGATTCATGAGAAGGATGCCATTGACCATTCCCTCATCAAAACCCCAATTTCTTTTGACTTCTTTTTTAAAAATTTTTTAATGTGTATTTATTTTTTGAAAGAGAGAGATGGAATGTGAGCAGGGAGTGGTGGGGGGCAGAGAGAGAGGGAGACACAGGATCTGAAGCAGGGTCCAGGCTCTGAGCTGTCAGTACAGAGCCCAATTAAGGGCTCAACTCATGAACTGTGAGACCATGACCTAAGCTGAAGTCAGACGCTTAACCAACTGAGCCATCCAGGCACCCCTTTTTTGACTTCTGTGTTGCTTCAGCTTCCCACTCCCAACTGCTTTTAACCAGATATCACCTCTCTCCTTGGGGACTGGGCCACATCAAGAAGGAACCTCACGTCAGGGATTTTGGAGAGCCTGAGGCCACTCTGTCATTTCTACCAGTGGTTCCCAAGGTTGTCCATAGTGTAACATCATCCCCTTGACAGTCTTAACAACTCCTATGGTTCTAACTGATCATCTCTGTTTAGGTAACTCTCCGACGTCTCTCCCAAATCCAGTCATTCTCTTCCAGCTTTCTCCACTGGAGCCCCACTGGTGTTTCATTTTCTCAGGCTCAAAAAATGTCTCTCATGTTGACCCAAAGCAGGTATTCAATCAGTACTAGTTTCCTTCCTTCC